TCCTCTACAGCTGGTGGTATTCTGCATTGTGCTGTATAATGTACTATTGCTGGGTTTTGTAGTCCTCTATAGCCGGTGCCATTCTGCATTCATTGCTGTATAATTTGACACTTTACATTTCACTATATTGCACACCACACTATCTTTTTTCTTTTTTACTTCCACCGCTCCAAGCTTGCTCCTGTGATGGACTACAACCTCAATACAAACTAGTAGTCCCATCACCGGAGCCTTTTTTTAAACTTTATTTTATTGTTTATCCGATTAACCGAACCTAATAATCGGCTAACTAATCGATTTTGAAAATAATCGTTAGCTGCAGCTCTAAAATACTCCCTGCCCCCGTGTGAGAAGCCTGGCAACTGAGCACACTCATGAAGTTAGTACTGCACTATGTATTGACAGAGGGAATGTCATATCACTCCATTTACCCAGATGTACGGACCAGTGATGTGCAGTACCTCTTGCTCCAGGTGAGGCATTCCCCAGCCCCGCCAGACGAAGCCCCGCAACCAAGCTAGTGTAAAGGAGGAAGGGAGTAGACAGGGAGGAGCCTCCTTGTCCCTCACTTGCTCCTCACTGCTGAGGCGCTCCGTCCATGACAGGTTACACAGCGGGGAGGATTTCCCTGCTCTGTGACCTGTTATACCGGACAGGGTTTTCCCTAGGGAACTTCGGAATGGCAGAGCAGATATCCAGCAAAAATTACCTAGGGAGAACATTGCAAAGCTGCTCCCCACTGAAGTCACCAGCCTCACCTTGCTCCACTGTGAACCTGGGACCATTGCAGAGGAAATCACTATGGAGAAGTTGTGAGCCACTATCCACTTTGCTTAAAGGGGAGCCACCCACCCCCACCATCCTCAATACAGGCATTTAGAAGTAGATATGTCAATGCCTATGAGGCTACACATTTTAAGGGTGCTTAACAATTCTGGAGATAGAAATATCAGTTTAGGACCATCAGTAATATTTAAATCATAGTTTTCCCCGTTGCAAAATAATTGTTGAGCCTAAATATTTTTTAGAGGTTATTTTGGGTTTGTGTGCACTAAAAAAATGTTTTTTTTTTCCACTTGGAATATAGATTTAATAAACATTTGAAACAAATGTTTATATTTCTTGGTGATATTTATTTGGGACCCCCCCCCCCCCCCCAGCTGAAAAATAAATCTAGAGAGAACACTGACTATTTCTCAGCTAGGAAAGAGTGCAGAAAAGGCAAGACAGCTTAGAGTGCCTCCAATAAAGCCTAGCTAAGCCAAATTTGTTTAACAGACAAGAAAATGTTTAACTTTATAACTTTATAGCTGAATTTATTACTCTACCTTTAAGCTGCATTTTTAAAGGTTCATTCACGGAGAAACATGTGATTTCAATAAGCTGCTAAGCACCATGGCAGGTGCCAGTTACAGTCAAGGAGTCAATTGTACTGCCAGATTTTGTTTGGGCACATCACAGCACGTTAACACGGTCTTAAACAGTGCCACTCCCGATTGTGTACTGCGTTGTTAATACATTTTGCCTTCCACGTTAATTGAACATGAGGGCATTGAAAGCGTATGTGCATTGCAATTTAAAATTGTACAAAAGTGAAACTAGTTTAAAAGACAAAGTTAAAACATTTCCTTCTAGTAGCTCACCATAGGTGACAATTTTGTTTAAAGGACAACTGCCCCTTTGGTACAATGTCCTATAAGCCATGCCCTCAGCCCCCCCCCCCAGAAAATGACCTGCCTCCATCCTCAATCCTGCGATCTTCACTCCTGCGAGTACTCCTCATCCTTGTCGTCTCTCTACTTAATTTCCTAAATGTAGGTTGCGTCATTCATCTGCCAGGGCTGTGTAAATTTCAGGAGCAGATAGACAGAAAAACAAATCCTTTGGTAATAGAACAGCTCCCGTATACAGTATTTCAGCTATTTGCCTAGCGATCATCATAAGGAGCGCTAAAGCTGAACAGTATTCTTCATGAAATCAAATCCGGGTCAGACTGAAGCAAATATGCAGCAGTTATGGCTTTTAAGCAACATTTTAAGTTTAATCCCATCTTTATGCATACACTTTATGGTTACAGGTGCAGAACCACAGACCATTCATATTTAGGACAAACAGCTGCTCTGAGTGCTGTAACGGTAATCAGAAACACGTTATGTAAACACACTGAGACTGCTGTTACATAACAGACTGGGTGCCAGATTTATAGGATGATTCACTTAATGGCACACAGACTGCAGCAAATTCGGCCTGAGAGCCAAAGCAGAGCAGCTTCACGTTGGGTTATATAAACAAGGCAAATAAGTAAATAAATCAGAGAGTTTCCACCGATTCATAATGCAGATCATAATCTAATAGATGTACAGTACTTCCATCTGGTCTGAAGCAAATAACCAGAATTGGGATGTAGTAAAAAAAAGTTATATGGAACACCTGCAAGCTTTTGGAGTAACTGGTAACAATAAGCCGACACATCCACTATTTCTTTTAGGTAGATAGATTGAAGGACATGTCCACGAGTTCAATCAAGAAAAAAACAAAACAAAATATGTGTGAAAGGGCTGCAAAATCTAGTTCTCATGAGCTATACTGATGGGCATGATTGAACTGTTCTGCATTTAAAGAACATGGCACTCGCTCAATCAAATGTATTACCACCAAAGGTGTGGACAATTTACATCTAGAATGCAGGCCAATTCCCCATAACCAAGGCCAGTTAAAGGAGAACTACAAGGAGAGTAAAATGTACTCTTCCCAATACTAACAGGGTTATTCACAAAAGGGTGAAAGAGTTTGGAGAAGGCAGGAGAAGTGAACAAATCGAAGACAGGGGTCTCAAAGGACCAATGCCAGCCCCCAAACGGATACAATTCAGCCCGTAGCCATACTTTACTTGTGGGAACAGCTACACGGTCTGCATCTCTGTCAGATGCAGACTGCATAGCAGCTCCCGTACCCAGTAATTCCTTTCAGCCGGAGCTGTGACAATTCTGAGCTTCAGCTGAAAATAATTAGGAAGGTGTGTAGGTGTGTGTTAATACCTGTAAGTTTAGGTGTGAGTAAGGATTTCTGTGTCAGGAATTGGCGTTTTCCTGCAGCACCAATCCCTAATCTGGCGTTTACAAGAGGCAGCCGTCACCCGTTCAAGTTATTGATCAGGTGACAGCCGCTGCATGTAATTGTATGCGATATGATTACATGCGGTTAAGAATCAATCACTCTCCCTAGATGCACAATCAATGCGTCCCGGGAGAGGGACTATTTTCTAACTGCATGTAATCACATTCCATTTATATACATTCGTTTGAATGGGTGACAGCTGCCACTTGTAAATGTCAGATTACAGATTCCTGCTTCAGGAAAAAGCCAATGTTTAAGTAAACTCAATTTACTGAAAAAGTCAACTGAAATTTGGTAACCGGGCCCTCATGGGAGAAGAAAATGTGTCCAGTGGCCACCAAGTGAATTGAGTTTGAGACCCCTAATCTAGGACAAAATAGCTGAACTGGAATTGTAGAATTTTTCTAAATCAGCTATTTTTGCCTAGATTGTTCACTTCACCAAACGCTTCATCCTCTTGTGAATAACCCTGTAAGAGCCAGCGTGCGACACTGAAGCGGTCACATGCTGGCTCTCGAGATCGAGAGCTGAGCAATCACAAACCATTGATCACTCAGTTCATGTTATTCTACCTGCAGAGAGTGGTGACTGTCAAGTCATCACTCCATTGCAGGGATTCCCGCTATTCCTCCAGTGCTCATTGGAAGGACAGACAGTTGCAGGGGCGGGCATAGCTGGCTCTGACTCTAGAGAGGCGAAGCAATCTGTCCATCTGCCCTCTGCTAGCAAACAAGGCTGAAGACTTGGAAATTGGCCACTGAATTTGATCACACAGTTCGTAATAGCTAGTGCAGTCCTGAACATACACAGCAATTCATGTACTGTAAGTTGTAGAAAGCAGAAATCTGATACAACCCTTAATATAAACCTCATTTACTGTATTCATGAGAAAAGAAAACATGGTAGGTTTTGTTAGAAGATGGTAAATTATAATCTGTACAAGAGAAGTTGAGGCTGTTGTGTATCATCGAAATCTGTAATAAAAGAACTCACACATACAAAATGCACAAAACGAGTCGGAAAACTAATATATACACTGCCTGGACAAAAAAGTCACTAGCTGGATTTAGCCAAGCAAATAGATTAAGGGTCTTTCGTTGAATAATTAGTTTAGGTTCAGCAACATTATGTGCCCAAAACATTAGGTAAATATACTGAATGACCAGGTTTTTCTATCAATGGATTTTTTTCTTCCCTGATGGCACGACATATTCCAAGTTGACGATGCCGGGGTTTATCGGGCTCATATTGTGAAAGAGTGGTTCAGGGAGGATGAGACATAATTTTCGCACATGGATTGGTTACTGCATAGTCTGGACGTTAACCCCATTGAGAATCTTGGGGTTCTGGGATGTGCTGGAGAAGACTTTACGATGTGTTTCGGACTCTCCCATCATCACTACAAGATCTTGGTGAAAAATGAAAGCAACTCTGAACAGAAAAATGTTTTGACATAGCATAAGCTTATCAAAATCGATGCCCTGGTGAATGCTTGCTGTAATCAAAGCTAAAGGCGACCAAACAAAACATTAGTGTGCAACTTTTTTTTTGTCCGGGCAGTGTATATGGTTAAAGCTGGATGCACTATAATTAATTAATGAATACCAGAGACTCCGGAGGGTGAGCCAGAGAACTTCAAAGCTCCGGACACAATTCAAAAACGGAACACCCCAGGTTTTGGGGCTCCATGGGTGCTCTAAAATAAGCTAAAGGTTAGGAGCACTGACTACCTAGTTCCTGTAATGTACACAACCATGTATTCAAAAACTAATAAAAAGAACACATTTGAATGCATATTTAGTGACCAAGGGCTGGCTAAAGTAAACAGAAAACTACATCTCAGTATCCCGTGAGTTCAAAAACTAAAAGACATAGTCACTTACTTTTGCTCTTGCAAATGCTCCCCTGTGTTCTGACTGGAATCAGTCTAAAAGGAAAACACAAATTAGCAAAATGTTATTTTATAGATTTTGTAAGACGTTAAATGATATCTAAACCCAAGAGGAAAAATGTTAAATATTGCAGCTGACCAGTCTCTAAGATATTACTTTTTTTAACCTAGACGAAAATAAGCAGTTAACTCTTGTGCATGGGTAGCGCCACTGCAAGGGTTAATGAAATTTGAAACCAGAGTTCTTCTTTAACTTTGTGTTCTTCCCCCCCCCCCCCCCCCCCCCCCCCCAACAAAAAT